GTAAAATGATGCGATCTTTTTAAAATGATTTAAATTTTCTTAAAGATTTAAATCTTTTTTAAGATTTAAATCTTTTTAAAACGATTTACATCACCTGATTCGTTAAAATCGTTATCAACCTGTCTATTTCTGAATAATAATCTAGTCAGCATGTCAGTAGGGTTGAATCCGAAATCCGAGAGAAAAGAAAAACAAAAAATAGTAAAGTGTAACAAATAATTGCAATGACTAAAGATTATTTTTAAGTATGAAATTTTACAATATCCTGAAACTCTTAACATATGTATTTTAAATTTATGCACCTTTTATTTCAGATTTGACATGAGTTGCATTAAGACGATTATGACTTTTTGACCAGTTCAACAAACACGCTTGGCATAGATAGAGCGAATTAATTAAATTTTTTATTTCTTTGGCTGATTCATCCACACATTTTTCAAAAAAATTAACCCAAACGCGCTCACTTTGGTTATTTATTTACTCGCAATAACTTCACGTTGAGAGAAGAACTCTTTTAATTCAACCCACTCAATTTCATTATTCATAGGCGGGAGATTTTGAAAATGAAATGCATTTTTCCGGGAGAGTCTCTTAAGTACAAAAAAAATATATTTTTAAAGAGTCTGATTGTATGTGCATCTATGTGGGGTGTTTATGTATGTATGACATTAAGCACGTTAACTTAAGGAAGAGTTGACGGATTTAAGTGATTTTTCAGAAAAAAAATCACTTTTCTTAAAAACCAGGTCTCCATTGTTTTGTGGCATCATAGGCATACCAAAAGTATCTTTTAAAGGGTTGAAAAATTTCTATTTACCAATTGACATGACATTTTTAAATAACAATTTTCATAACTATAGATATCAATGCTGCATAAATCCTTAAAAATATTGTCTTGATTATTTAAAATTAATATTTCCGTAAGAATTGCATTGAGCTAATAACGATAAAAAATAAATACGTGAAAAGTTGATCGAGTTTTGCGTTTTATTTATGAGAAAATCACATTACTTAAGTATTCATTATCTTTGGCCTACCGAAAGCATTTTTTGAAGAGTCACCCAAATCTATAAAAAGATTTAAATCTTTTGAAAATATTTATTTCGTTTAAAAAGATTTAGATATTTCGAAAAGATTTAAATCTTTCCTAAAATGACAAAAGATTTAAATCTTTTGAAAAGATTTAAATCTTTCGAAAAGATTTAAATCTTTCCTAAAATGATTTAAATTGTAAAAAAGATTTAAATCTAAAAAAGATTTTTGATTTAAATCTAAAAAAAGATTTTTGATTTAAATCTTTCTTTTTAAAAAATCGATCTTTGATTTAAATCATTTTTTCAAATGCAAATGATTTATGATCTTTGATTTAAATCGTTTTTAAAATGATCTTAAACAGCTCTGGTACCTGGTACAATTTTTTATCAGCTGAAATTATTTTTTGGGACCTTTACAACTTTTTATATAAAATGCAATGAAAACGCTAACAGAACTTCAAATTTTTTTGTGCATTAGGTTCCGAATTGTTTAAATAAAAAAATAAAATTACGTTTAGTGTTCACAAGTATTTAAATTTATTGATTTGACTAATTTAAAAATGAATTTTGAAACGAATGAATTGACTGATATGATTTTAGTGCTAGGGGCTAGTGATGATAATTGCTTGTTGGCAACTAGAATTTATAAGCAAAAATATTCTGATCGCCGACAACCTCGTAAAGAAATTTTTGAAAATCAAAAAAATGATAGAGAAAAACGAACTTTAAATGAACTCAGTATTCTACTTAGTGTTACCGAAATTCCAAACATCAGATCATCATACTTATTCTTATTATTTGAGAAGATAAACCCACGCGCATGCGATCAGCCCATCTCTGTCGCACGCCTGACGTCACTGGGAGACATTGCCCGACTCGGCAACCGCCAGGGGACCTATTTTCAAACCGTGTGAGTACACATTTCTCTCAAGATTCTCATCAGAAATGTCATACGTCAATGTGGAAACGCTGTTTTTAAAGGCCTCGAGGATTAAAATTCTTAGGAGGGTATTAATTATCTCTAAATAAACCGTGAGAAACAATCAGTGAGTTTACACTGGCCCTTAGGACCCTAAAAATACTGTTTTACGTGGACGTATGACATTTCTCTCGAGAGAAATGAATTCTCTCGACTTTGAAAATAGCCCCCCAGGGGGGCTATTTTCAAAGTATGAGAGCACTCATTTCTCTCAAAATTCTCATCAGAAATGTCATACGTCAATGTGGAAATGTTGTTTTTAAAGGCATCGAGGATTAAAATTCTTAGGAAGATTTTAATTCTCTCTAAATAAACCGAGAGAAACAGTCAATGAGTTCACACTGGGCCTAAGAGCCCTAAAAATACGGTTTTACGTTGACGTATGATATTTCTCTTGAGAGAAATGAATTCTCTCGAGTTTGAAAATAGCCCCCCAGTTCTATACTATTACTGATTACTTAATTTTGTTTCTTTGGTTTGTTGTGTTCAAGCGCGTAGCTAGGTTGTTTTCTTGAGGGGGGTAACACTTTTCAAATTATTGGTGAATGCGCAGCGTGTGTTTTCTTAGAATATGGTACCAATGCAACGTCTAGAGTTCATATGTATATTTCCAGAAAAAAGAGTGAGTTTCATAATGAAGTTGTGTGTGTGTGTGGGTGGGTGGGTGGGTGGGTGGGTGTGTGTGTGTGTGTGTGTGTGTGTGTGTGTGTGTGTGTGTGTGTGTGTGTGTGTGTGTGTGTGTGTGTGTGTGTGTGTGTGTGTGTGTGTGTGTGTGTGTGTGTGTGTGTGTGTGTGTGTGTGTGTGTGTGTGTGTGTGTGTGTGTGTGTGTGTGTGTGTGTGTGTGTGTGTGTGTGTGTGTGTGTGTGTGTGTGTGTGTGTGTGTGTGTGTGTGTGTGTGTGTGTGTGTGTGTGTGTGTGTGTGTGTGTGTGTGTGTGTGTGTGTGTGTGTGTGTGTGTGTGGGTGTGTGCGTGTGGGTGTGTGCGTGTGTGCGTGTGTGCGTGTGCGCGTGTGGGTGTGTGTGGGTGTGTGTGCGTGTGGGTGCGTGGGTGGGTGCGTAAGTGCGTGGGTGCGTGGGTGCATGGGTGCATGGGTGCGTGGGTGTGTGTGCGTGTGGGTGCGTGGGTGGGTGCGTAAGTGCGTGGGTGCGTGGGTGCATGGGTGCATGGGTGCGTGGGTGCGTGCGTGCGTGCGTGTGTGTGTGTGTGTGTGTGTGCGTGCGTGCCTGCATGCGTGCGTGCGTGCGTGCGTGCGTGCGTGCGTGAGTGCGTGCGTGCGTGCGTGCGTGCGTGCGTGCGTGCGTGCGTGCGTGCGTGCGTGCGTGCGTGCGTGCGTGCGTGCGTGCGTGCGTGCGTGCGTGCGTGCGTGCGTGCGTGCGTGCGTGCGTGCGTGTGTGTGTGTGTGTGTGTGTGTATGTGTGTGTGTGTGTGTCTGTATCCACCATAACTCATGAACCGATACAAAGAAAAACACCAAATTTTTAACTTAAGCTTTATTCCGGTGTCCAATGAACTGAGTAGATTTTGGGCAGAGTCGGAACGCCTGGGGGGTACTTTATTGGTGGTCATTTTTATATTTTATGGAATATATCTCTTATTTACGATTGGAGAAGAAAATTCTTCAAATAAAAGTTACTTACAATATTATTATCAATATTTTTTCATTTTTTAATATACTAATGTTACATTCTAAAAAAATTAAAATAACTTATTTTTGGCTCATATTTTTTTCATTCATATTTAAAATATCTTCTTAACTGTTGTGTTTAGGGATAGGGACAAACGAACGTATAATTAAAGTACTTTTAGTAGAGATATGAAATACAGCGTGAACCTAACCTTAAAAGTAAAGAAAGTAAATTCAGTTGATAATAAATTGTAGCTAGGTACCTTAAAAATATAAACTTATTAAACAGTATATTTTAACAAAAGTTTAAATCAAATCTCGCTAAACTGTTGTGTTTAGGGATAGGCAATATTTAATTCAAACGAACATATAATTAGAGTACTTTTTTAGTAGTGATATGAAATAAAGGGTGTTACATTTAAAAAATTGAGAACATCATGTATCTGAGTTTTGACTCACCCTATACACGTCTGTTGCGCTATGAAAAAATTAGTATATTCTTATAAAAGTAGACTATCATTAAAAATCACTTATCAAAAAATTTTGATGTTCGATTGCTTCATAAAATGTTTAAATTATTAATTAAAAATAAGTAAATTTGTAATTATTTTATGGTAGGTTTTATTAATATACTTGACAATACTACAGGGATAAGTCATGCATACTGCGCATGCTTATAGACACACTATTCTGCGATGTCCTGCGCAGAGACTCGATTTTGTACACAATAAGTTTCAATTTCCGCTTATATTTATATTGGTCTTCTATTTTTATATTCTTTCTATGGCATATCCACTCCATTATATCATATCGACTACGGTGGTGTAGGTGTCTATGGCGCGGCATTCATTTGTCAGCCAATTTTCTGGTAAACGAGACACGGTTTCAGATCCTACGGAAGACCATGTGAATTTATTTGCATGGTTCTCTATAGGATTTGATGGATGCCATATTAGCAGAAATTTAATTTCTGTTGATATGACATGCAGATTATTAAAATAGAATCACCATGCATTACAGTTTTCGATGATGGTGGGTGGGGTTTTCCTCACCTCTAAGTCAAATGGCACCATCAATCACCTTTAAGTCGCCCCGGAGCGCCACGGCAAATAATAATAATATCCGTCCCTTTCCCCGCACAAGCTCAGCTTTTGGGGTCAAAATTCACTCGTAAGGGGTGAATTAGGGAGAGTATTATTATTATTATATGGACAAGACCTGCCATTTTTTGTTCTACTTCCAGATAAATAAAATATAGTAGATGTTTATTACACAAACGTACTTAAGTATTTAAAACCGGGAAATCATATCTTATCTGACGCCTAATCTTTGAATAAATGACAATATCTACCATATTTATCACAGAATCAATAAAGTACTTTTTTAGTTATATTTTACACGTGTGTCGTTATAGGTTTGAAATATCGAGTGCAGTTGGCGAAAATATTTAGATAAATAATTGAACAACATAATAAATTTATCTAAATATCCCCGAAACATTTTTTTATTTTCTCTTTTTATAAGGTAGGCAAAATATTATACTTTTAATTTTATATAATCTAAAAACAGTGGTTAAGCAAGTATTTTTTCTTAAATAATTACAACTGGGTTCTATGATTAAAACGGTACTAGTGTTCTATAATAATAATAATAATAATAATAATAATAATAATAATAATAATAATAATAATAATAATAATAATAATAATAATAATAATAATAATAATAATAATAATAATAATAATAATAATAATAATAATAATAATAATAATAATAATAATAATAATAATAATAATAATACTCTCCCTAATTCACCCCCTCACGAGTGAATTTCAACCCCTGAAGTCGACTGAACGACTTGTGTAGGGGAAGGGACGGCTATTATTATTATTTGCCGTGGCGCTCCGGGGCGACTTAAAGATGATTGATGGTGCCATTTGACTTACAGGTGAGGAAAACCCGGAAAACCTCATCCACCATCATGAGTGAATTTATTTTAATAGATATTTAAACCGTCTTTCATTGATAATGAAAAATATTGTCTTCAGTTTCAAAAGATAATTTTTTCTAAGTCCACCCCTGTAAGTGCCAAAAATCGAATGCAATACCTTGCCTACATGTAGATATACAAGGTGCGATAAAAAAAATACGGTAACTAATTTTAGTAGAAACAAATTAGGAAGTTTACGTGGAATTCTACCGTGTTCAACATGACATTTTAAAAGATGAACTATTGTAATGCGAGCTATTTGCGGCCAGTCCGGTCATGCTCTAATCCCGCTTAGATATCCCCAAACTTAAATTAAATTTGACATTTAATACTAGGGTTATCACCTTAGAACATATATAGTCAGGAAGGAGCATGCCATGTCCGCGTTAATCTAATCGATCTGACGGAAGTGGTAGCCATGTTGTACTATGGATGACTCATCATCATATGATAAATTGTTTCTAAAATTGGTTTATAATTTTAGTGATTAAAATTTATTAATAATTTGAATGTTTTATGTGTTAATTTAAACTTTAATCAAGCGTATGTTTTGTAGACATTTTTAAAAAAATGTTTAGTGTTTTAGTATTTATTTAGTACTACTGTTAATTTTAAATTTTCCGCGTTAAAAGACAAACAAGACACTATGGTCAGTTGTTCGTCTTGTAGATATAGCAGCACAGCTAAAAGTAGAAAAAAATAATCTACATTTCATAAGCAAGTATTTGATTCTCTCAATTTTCAACCACATTAAAGATTTTTAAAATTTTTAATAATTAATAATATCTCAAGTAAGTAAATAAGTAGCATAACGCATGCCTCAAGATACTGTCTTAGGTCCTATCTTGTTTAATTTTATTTTAAATAATTTGTCGTTTAAATACAGATGGAATATTTTAAGTTTTTCAGACGACACAGTTATTCTGTAAAATGCAGAGAGCTGGAATTGATTAAAATTATTAATAGAAACAGATTTTATAAAAATTTTCGAATGGTTTAATTATAAAAACTTAAAAACCTTTGATAAAACTTATGTTGTTCCATTATACAGTTATGAAAAGATGTCTTCTTCCTATAGATACAATAAAAGGTAACGTTCAGTAGTTTCATATAGTATTACAAATGATATCAAATACCTTAGAGTACAAATTGACTCTCATCATAACTGGATTAAGCATACAAATAATGCGTTGAATGTACATTTAAAAATAATCTATTTTGCATTCATAGAATCATTATTACGTTATAGGATCCTTTCTTGGAAAGGTGTTTTACCTACTTATGCAAAATTGTCCTGCAAAAAATATTACTAATAATATTATGTAATAAAATGATCAGAAATTCTCTTCGATATTAGGAAGTTTTATATGTACTCCAACAAAAACATCTAAGAAAGAAATATCACAGCAGTTTTTGACCTAAATATAAGTATAGGATATTTAATTTTTTTTAACGTATATCTACAAACCTTAATAATTTGTAAAATGTAGATTAATAAAGACATTGTCATAATAAAGACGTAAAAAAGTTAATATTCTTTTTAAATACGAAATAGCAATTCGTTAAAATGAAAGAAATCGGTAAATTTAGAAAATATGCAAATGAGAATTTATCATTTTCTTTTCTACACCCCTTTATGACAGTACGTCACTGGTAGACCGGAAATACTTGTCTCATATTCGTCTAGTTCACTGGGCTGAGTTCGAAAAGTACGCTCCCATAGATCATTTTCATTCGATGGTGTGACGTTTGTGTGATTCGGTTGTCTCGCTCGTGTGACATCTTTTCGAACGGGTAGAAAGTTGTGGTCGGTCAAAGTCAAGTAAACTAACCTAAAAACGATAAGTAATCAAAAACAAAGCCAAGATAGACACTGTTATTTATTATATGATATGAATCGTAAACGTAAAGTGGTTGCGGCTTTGACAAGTTTGCAATCGGCCCTTTTGGATGGGCTCTTAAATATTGAAAGCGAATCAGAGAGTAGTGATGATGACGACGAATTTATTTTAATTGATTTTGAACCAAACCAACTACTACAAACTACTTTGTTTACAAAACGTAAATGACAGAGAGCGGGAGAATTTCAATGTTGTTACTCTTGTCAGTCAAAGTGTAAAATGCGCATGTCGTGTGAATCTCAACCGGCTAAATACTCGGTTGGAAAAAGCGACGCTCGAGCGATCAGAGAACGTAGTTTTCGAACTGTACAGCGTAACGTTAGACTAATCATTCTAGAGTTTTCGAACGGCTAGTGTCAATCGAGCGCGCTCGAGTGTACTTTTCGAACTCAGCCCTGTCAAAATTTGATATCATCAAAGTATATTAACCGTTGAGTAGCGACAGCTGGGGAACCGAATTCTAGTGCGCCGACGCGAAATAGAGAGGCGAGACGTCTTATAAAAGGCGAGTTCGGTCAGTCAGGGGCTGGAGCGGGACAAATTTTAGGGTGCTTTTAAATGACATTTAAGCGTGTTAAACTGTCACTAATCGGACTAAACCGAACGCTAAAAGAGTCGTTAGGAGTTAAAAGTGTTAAAGGAGTTAAAGGAACGTGGCAAACCGAACGCAATGAAAGATGTAAACACCCCTTTCACTTTAGTCCGGCAGCTGATACAGGAATTCGTTGTTGTGCTCTTTTATTGTTTTTGTGGGTTTTTCATTATGCCAAAATTCATTAATTTTTCGGTGATATGTAATTAGAACCAAATAAATTAAATAATTGAAATCTTCTAAAATAAACGATTTTATTAAGGTCGTCAGAACACTAACATGGAAAAATATGCACTAAAAAGTGAACAATATGTAAACCTGACAAATAACTGCTAAAAAAAATATTCGTAAACGAATTAACGCACTCAAGTAGGTACCCAGTAATCTTGCCTGATTTAAACCAAACCATCATCTCTGCACTATCTCAAAGATATATGTGCCATTGACAAAAGAACTAATTCTCTTTGTTTAATTAAATAAAGATATGTCCATTCAATTTACTGTTTAGTGCAATTTTGTTGATCTGGTGACTAATAAAATCATTTACCTTAATAAATGTCTATTAAATTTATTGATAACTTGAATAGCAACATTACTACAGTATTATCATTTATGCGTAATTATTACAAGACTTTTTTTCTGATAACTTTTCGCAATTCAATTCCTCAAATCACAGTCAGTGACCTCAAACATACCAAATCCAAGTTTGAAACAAATCGGCTCATCAATACAAAAGTCTGCCAACTTTATCTTTGTTAAATTTAGGTTAAAACTTATATTTGGCGGCCTTAAACATCCCCAAGTTTAGGACAATCGGTTCATTAGGAAAATCCGCCATTTTGATATTTTTATGTTTAGATCAAAAATTGTATTAAGACCACCAAGTTTCTAGTTTGAGACAAATCGGTTCTTAAACGGAAAACCCGCCATTTTAATTTCCTTGATTTTTTGTCAGAAATCACAATTAGCGACCTTGACTCAACAACCCCCAAGCTTAAGCAAATCTATTCATAAGTATAAGAATAGTAAGATTGTCCCCTATTTTGCTGTTAACTACGAAAGCGTAGAGGGCCACGGTGAAAAAAAAGACAGTTATATCTTCCATTAGTGCTACTGCTAATTGACATTTACATCTGTCAATTAGGCTAATTCCTAGTTCTGTCTGTTAAGTTAATGCTAATTGACACTTACATCTATCAATTAATGCTAATTAACATTTACATCTATCAATTAGGTCTAAGTGTCAATTAATTAGCATTAATCGACAGCCAGAACTGGGAATCAGGCCTAATTGACAGATATACCTAAGGCCAATTAGTAGTAATTGACAGCTAGAACTGGGAATTAGACCTAATTGACAGATGTAAGTGAAAATTAGCACTAATTGACAGATATCACTGTCAAGTGTCAATTATATATTTTTTTCACTGTGATTCTTTTACGCTTTCGTAGTTTACAGTAAGATTTATCAAAAATTAGAATGATAGACGGAATGTCATCAGATTTGACACTGACTTCCATATTGTTGTATGAATAACTTGTCAAATCAGATACCTCTGTCAAACACTTTAAACGTGAATTAAAAGTTTTGAGTAACGGGGCACATTATTAGTCAAAAATTGTATTCAGCGACATGTTTAAACATCGCGAAATTTAAAGTTTGAGACAACTCGATTAATATATAAGAAGGTCCATAAGTAATAATTTCTATTGTTATCAAAAATCAAAACCCTGTGCACCTACCAACTTTCAAGACTCTAGCTCATCCGGACGTAGGTAAAAAAATTGAAATTTATCAATAGTGATATATATTTTTATATTTACTACATAAGTTAACTACTCATAAATATAAAACTGCATAATGACCAAACCTTTATTATATATAAACATCACATTCAAGACCAGTTCATAATTCGAGCAGTGTTTTAGTGTGTCCTTCCGTCAATAACGTCAAACGAGAGAGAAAGAAAATTTGCACCACCCAAGATCAAAGACACCGACGCTTTATGTCGCTACTCAACGGTTAATATACTTTGATATC